CATATCTAAACCTGGTAAGCAACATTGGGAAGCAGTCAAGTGGATCTTTCGGTACTTAAAGGGTACTGTGGGACATGGAATTGTTTTTTGGAGTCAGCGGGATAATCCTTTGGTTGTAGGATATGTGGATTCAGACTATGCATGTGACTTGGATAATAGAAGATCTACGACAGGGTATGTCTTTACTCTTGGTGGAGGGCCTATTTGTTGGAAGTCTACTGTTCAATCTGTTGTGGCTCTATCTATAACTGAAGTTGAGTACATGGCAGCGACTGAAGCTGCAAAAGAAGCTTTATGGCTTACTGGTTTAGTGAAGGAGTTGGGTGTTCAACAAGGTGGAGTTCAATTGCTTTGTGATAATCAAAGTGCTATTCACTTGGCTAAGAATCAGATGTATCGTGCTAGAACTAAACATATTGATGTAAGGTTCCACAAGATCAGAGAGTTGGTTGCATCTGGAGAGGTTTTGTTTCAGAAGGTACATACTGATGAGAATGTCGCTGATATGTTCACCAAGCTAGTTACGATAGACAAGTTCAAGCATTGCTTGGACTTGTTGAATGTTTCGAGTTGTTAAAGAAGCAAGGTAACCCAACCCACATTGAAGTTTCCAAGGGGCAGGATATTCGCCAAGGTGGAGATTTGATAGGTTACGAATTATGTGGGTTGGGGGTGCGGGGGCTGTGGCCCCACGGTACGGTACAGGGTTGATTTTGTAATTATGTACCAGGGTTTTCTATTATAAATAGAGATGTAACCTAGACCTAAAAGATCATTGAATAAAACTTCTAGCGCCGCCTAGGCACCGAGGACGTAAGCATATTGTCGAACCTCGTAAAATTCTCGTGTTCTTTTGTTTTCTTTACCCGTTTTCGTCAACAGTTATTACATACAAAGGGAACCACCACCCCTGATAATCGGACCGTCGAAGACAGAATCCGACGGTCTTCTGATCCTAAGTCCGAACCCTATAAACTATAAATAAAATAAAAATTCACACTCGGAAGAAAAATGGAAGAAATGTAAATTAACAAGGAAGAAACCGAGATTCGGTGATTATTTGGTGAATTTGGAAGTGAAGAAGTTGAGGTTATGACGACACCTGAAACCGGTGATTTTTCCAAAAATAATCGGTGATCGGTATATATATCGATCTAACACCAGTCAGATTATATTTTCCTATTTAACATTCGTAGCAGTAAAACGCGTCCCTGAAACGCATTATATGCTAATTTAGCGCCACGTGGAGTATAGCGTGCCCCCTGTACTACGCTATACGCTGACTGGGTTACACGTGGGGTATAGCGCGCCCTCTGCTCCGCGCTATACTCCACATAAGGGTATAGCGCGAATCAGGGGCCGCGCTATACGCCGTACCAAAATTATATTTAACGTGGTCCCTGATCCGCTCTATATAATAATTACATATTACGCGGTGCAGGTACCGCGTCTTATATGTTTATAAATATCTCCGGTTCTCGCATCTCCTCGCATCTCTCCTCTCTTATAAATTAATACACTTTTTGTTCATTTTAATTTTGCAAAGAAAGCAAGTTAGTAAGTTATATATTTTTTGATCAGGTTACAAACTACTTCCTCAAACGTTTGAATCAATGCTTATGATGGTGTATTATAAGGTTATTTTCGCGAAGAACGAGGAAAGATACAATTACATCAGCCTCATCGATAAAGAAATGTGGACGAACGCATATGATGGTGGATATCGATATGGACACATGACGACCAACTTAGCTGAGGCAATCAATTCAACCTTAAATGGTACACATCACTTACCTGTAGCGGCTTTGGTAAAAGCTATATATTTTCGTTTGGGGGTGCTTTTTACGAAACTCGGGGGATAAGCTCAAACCTGGATGCAAGGCGGTCATGTCTATCACCCTAGATTAGTTGCAGATCTACAGAAAAAATTGCTGTATCAAATGGAATGTCTGTAACAAGCTTCTCAATAAGGCATGAAATGTTTCGTGTCACAGAGTTGCAGCGACCTCTTCAAGGGATTGAAGCTGTGTCGTTAAGAGTACATCTAAGGGACAGAACGTGCGACTGCGGGTTTTTTCAAGCTCTGAAGTATCCATGCTCTCATGTGATAGCAGCTTACTCGCATACACGTCAAGACTATAACCATTTTGTGGATCCCATATACATACTATCTGAAGTTTTTAAGGTATACGAATTTGAGTTTCCCCCTCATAGGTAATGACAAAGACCCTAATGAGGTTCAAGATTGGCTTCCGGTTGTACCAAATCCGAGTTTATTGAGGGAGCGTGGTCGTCCAAAATCCAATCGAATTCATTGCGATATGGATATTCGAGAAAGATCTAGACAAGACAGAAGATGTGGTCATTGTAGAAACCCATGACACACCAGAAAAACGTGTCCACTTTTGTTGTCATCAAGTAACAATTGATGAGGAAATGATGGGGAATTTGAGAGAATTTGGTGTGATAAAAGTGATTGAGGATGGGGGTATTTATAGGGAGGATGGGACGTGAAGGGTTGGGTATTTAGGGGTATAGCGCCCCCTGCACCGCGCTATACCCCACGTGACGCCAAATCAACGTATAACGCGGTTCAGGGGGTGTGCTTTACTGATACGGGTGTTAGATCAGAAAATATAATCTGATCGATGTTAGATCGATAAATATACCAATCACCGGTGATTTATTAGGAAAATTACCCCCGAAACCGGTTGTTGGTTCAGAAAAGTAAGTGAGTTTATTTTTGACAATTGCTTTATATAAGAATGTTATTGTATGAGTTTTTAATTGCTATTTTTCTATTTGGGTAAACTACATTATTAATCCCTAAACTTTAAGTTCTATATCAATTTTAACACTGATTTGTTATTTCAAAAAATAATAAATGATTAGATTACATGGCAATTCTTTATTCTGATTTGAAAGTTATACTCTCTTTTCTTCATTCCATCTCATTTTCATTTCTTAAAAATTAAGATTTTATGTTCATTTTCAGTCACCGTAAAAAATTCAATATCTTTTATAATCATGGATGATAATATGAGGGTTTAAGGGTCGTACTCTTAAAATATGTTAATTTCATGTAATTTAAATAATTTTTATTAATATTATAACTGTGTATCTTTAAATTTTTAATATAACTTCACAAAAATTTACATTCATTGTATAAAATCTTGTGTTTGTCCTTGTTTATGATCACCTCAAACGCGACGAACTCATATCATAGACATCTACTATTTTATTGGTTTAAATTTTCTCAAACTCTTTTCAAAAGTAATAAAATTAAATATAAAAACCTATCATTTTAGAATTTAAGGATTGAAAATTAGTCTCATCGACCTATTGTTGAATGAAAATGGACCACTAGAGCATCAATCATTTAGATGATTTTTTTTTTTCATTTTAGAATATGTTTCATAAAAAATAAATTCAAGTAAAAAAAAAGAAAGTGAAATATAAATATTTTAATATAATGGTATTTAATTTACCCTTTTCGATTCAAATTTATTATTCTCAGTTCAATCTTGTTTTACAGTTTTAAGAATGCCTTGTCAATTGTATTATGGTCCTCCTATTAAAGAGGAATGGACAAATTAATCCCTATACATTCAACAGGAGTAAAATGACCCCTGTAGATGTTGATGTGAAATTTTAATATGGTTTTAACTTAGGTATCGTTTTGCTTCTATCGAAACGTATAAAGATTTATTTAGTTATTTATTTTTAAGTGAAAATCAAAATACAATCTAAAATATAATACATAAATTCTATAATTGCAACTTACTGCAATTAAATTTTTAATAGAATGTATCCATGTTTTGGTTTAGGATATAATTTAGAAGCAGAACTGTTTTGTTGTCAATTTGAGTGGTCTCAATTAGAGGTGCATAAAAAATTCAAATATTTGATTTTACGTAAAAAAATATCTGAAATTGGATTTGGGAAAAGCCTTTTTTTTAAAACCGGATCGTATATTTAAAAACCGAATAGTATAACCGGTTTGAGAAAAAAATTAGACGATCGGTTTTTTTACTGGATTAAAAACCGGTTTGAAAAAAACCATATAAAAACCCAGATTTTTCGAGAAAAAAAGGATAAAAACCGGTTTTTTCGGGGGGAAATCCGATCTGGGATTTTAAAAACTAGCCGTTAATATAGTCGTTGGGGGGGTTTTGTGACCGTTTTTTTTTTCCTAAAAAAAATCACCATTTTTCCACCCTAAACATGTATAAATAGATTGAGGATGTATTTGGTTGATTACAACTTTCTCAAATCTTATTACACAACACCTAAACATCACTCAAATCTTATTTTTGTAATTTTTTGTTTATCATGCTACAAATATCAACCCTAACACAATTAAATCTTTCGTCAGGGGAAACCTCGAAGTAGTGTTGCTCATCACCACCGGTTTTTTTTTAAATCAGTTTTTTTAAACCAAAACCGGTTACACCATCCGGCCCTCCAAAACGGTTAGGATTCGAACCGATTTTTTTAAAATCTGATTTTTTGGCTAGGTGAAAAAACTGAATCGATTTGTATCTGATCCGGATCGATTTTTTATCCGACTTTGTGCATGTGTCTCATCTAAGTGTAGTGGACCCAATAAATAAAAAATTAGTTATGCAAAGCTCTTTGATGATTCGTTAATCATCAGTGTCCGTTAGAGGAGGTCTATTACCTGTTCATCTCCCCCGTCCTTTTAGTTCTTCTTTCACAATTCTTTCAATTAACATTTAACATACGGAACTTCCTACCGATATGAATTTAAATTGACCTTGGCTTTTAAATTTCCCAAGTAATGATCAGTGAAGGACAATTCCATTACTCCGATGTTTTAACTTTGATTTGCCGCTGCAATTAGTAAATGCTCGTTTGATTTCCCGGTTAGATTTCGGGGAAGAAGATTTTCATTAACGAGATCGATTGATCCAAAGAAATTCGTGATTCTAGGCTTTAATTACCGTTTGTGCGTTTGATTCGATGGGTTTTTTTGGTTTTGTGTTGGGCCTTTTGGATTCGGATTTGGTATGACAGCGGGTCTTGTGATCGGATATTACTTCTTCATCCACATCGATCCTAGCGATGTCACGGTAATCCTTGTTCTTTCATTGCTCTTTTGTTATTTCGGGTTAAAAATGCAGTAGAAATGTTTTAAGCTTAGAGTTCTTAGATTGAAGTTTCTTTTACTTTTATTTATTTATCTACCTATTTATGTTTGTTTTTGTTTTTATAACCAAACACAACATAGTTTGATGCTCATTTTATACATGGATTTCTGGTTAAAATATGTTCATTCCTTTGATGGTTTTTATCGGAGAAATAGTTTATTAGATGATTAATAGATGCCTATTAGACAGAAATAGCTTTTGAAAATTTTAAGATCGCTTAAGAAAATAGCATGTGTATTACCGTGGGGGAAGTAGTTAAATAGTTTACTTACTCCTTTTTTAATCCGGAATGAATTAATTAACCCGTTAAATTCTTCAATCCGGTAACTGGTGGGATTCGTAGCATTCAGAGTAAACTCAAATTCTTTAGATTAATCACATCGTACACTTATGTTGTTTGAAATTCTGACTTCATGGTTTAGTTTTGATTCTAGTACCAGGGCCTCTAGAGCTATTTTAACAGAAAGTAAGCTACAAATGAGTTGAGTAGAAATCAGGGTAGCTTCCCTCCTAGTTGCTTGGGAAAAAATGTGAAAAAAATGAATGCACAGGTCAGGGAGAGCTGAAGGGAAGAAAGTCAGTTGACATATTTGATATCTTTCTCTTTTGTTTTCGTTTTATGGAGTTACATTTATGTGCACATTTGTTTGTCCAGGATCCTGGAATCCAGCCATTGGTCGATGAAGATCCCGAAACATTAAAGAAGATGCTTCCAGAGATACCTTTCTGGGTAAAAAACCCAGACTATGAACGCGTACGTAAATATCGTTAGTGTCTGTCACATTCTTCCCATGTCCTGATGCCTTCTTACTGCAAGGAATCTTAAAACTACTTTCCCTTTTTTGTTTTGGCTTTTGAGTAGGTTGACTGGCTAAACAAGTTTTTGGAATATATGTGGCCAAATCTTAACAAGGTTTAACTTCTAGTCCCCACTGACAGTAGCCTTTTCTTGGTATCCTTTTCTTTTCGTTATATGCTTTTTCTTAGCTCTTTCTTCATGTATTTGTTCTTTTGTAGGCCATCTGTACAACTGCGAAGAATATTGCCAAACCTATAATTGATGAACAAATTTCACAATATAAAATTGATGCTGTTGAGTTTGAGACATTTACATTAGGATCTTTGCCGCCAACTTTCCAAGGTTAGTGAATCAATTACTCTTTAATGGTTGTTCTACCACCAGCCAATCTATTGCCATTTGTCCTTTTCCTTTCTTTTTGAAAGTCATCTCCAGGAGAAGCTGGGTAAATACTGAGAACTCTGCTTGGTGATCTTGAATAGGTATTGGATATAGCATAAATGGTATTGTATTTAGCATGTACGTTATTCTGGAATGCTACTTTCTAGGATGTGGTACATTATTGGAAAACTCAGCACGTCACGTAAAATCCAAGGGTAATTTATTTATTATGTAAACTATTCACAAAAAAGACAAGGTAAAAGTCACTTAAATTAAAAGACGAGGTAAATTATTTATTATGTTAATTTAAATACTTTGCACTGCATGCTGAGATAAAGTTCAGGCCACATGATAAAGGTCGGTTCCCTCTTTCCCATACACCAAAATAGATGAGTACCTTCTGGATTAGCTGTTTAGATGCAGAAACAGAAGCAACATACTCTCCCCACAAATGTTCAGTTTTTCAAGCCCACATTTTCATATAAAAAAGACATTTTTGAAAGTTTAATTTAGTTATTTTCTTTTATTTTTCTTCAGATTTCTCCCTGATCTTTTTAGTCTGCTTCTCATTTATAGGTATGAAAGTTTATGTCACGGAAGAGGAGGAGTTAATCATGGAACCATTAATAAAATGGGCTGCAAATCCAAATGTTACTATTGCCGTAAGAGCATATGGAATGAAAGCAACTGTTCAGGTTATTACTTTTTTACACTGAACTATTTATGTTGAACTGGGAGAGGTTGTTTGATAAATGTGTTGCTCGGATTGTTCCAGGTTATTGATTTGCAAGTGTTTGCCATGCCACGCATTACCTTGAAGCCACTGGTCCCAAGTTTTCCATGTTTTGCAAATATTTTTGTGTCCTTGATGGAAAAGGTATTAAGGTTTTAGATTATGGATTAGTTTAAATACAAATTCCCTTATTTATATCTTTGATGATTCGACATTTTATTGTGTTGAAGTATATTTTAGATTTTAGCTACAAATTTTGTGGCTATCCACGTAAAGTAAATGCTAGGTGTGCCGTTTCTTAGACATGTATGTAGTACGTAAATGAACTAATAGAAAATGGAATAGTTTTTAGTACACCAAACATAAAGGTAGCCAAAGTATAGCGTTAACTCCCTTAGAGTTCTAATTTACTTCATGACTACAAATAATTGAATGTTCGATCGAGTCTTTAGGCTTCAAGTAGATAGGCTATATGCTCTAGGACGTGGGGCAGTCTTGATGGTTCACAGGCCATTGTGCACGAGCTATGGTATTCTCTGATCTTTTATACACTGGTACCGAGATTTCACTTAAAGATGTGATTTTTAAATTTCATGATGGAAGTGCTACCGAGTTTCAGAATGATATTTTAATCTCCAAAATCAATCAGATAATTTTTTTCCTTTTTATTTTTTTGGTATTCAGCACGTTGACCTTCAATAAATAAATCCTAGCTTCCCATAGACTTTTTTCCAAGATCATCCTGTCTATAGGGATGTTGAGATAAACTATTATTTATATGTTCTGTCATTCTTGTGAAAAAATAAGAGGAATTTGTATGGATCACTCTTAATTGAATTCAAATGCACAAACAGCATTTGCGAAATGGGATAACCATGTCGTTGTTTCTACATACAACAATTCGTGCACTTTCTCTCTTTTGGATGCATTGTCCCTTTCCCTTTCACTTTTCTATGAATAGTGATTAGTTCCTTTTTTTTCTTGTCTGCAGCCCCATGTTGACTTTGGATTGAAGCTCGTAGGCATTGATCTCATGTCAATACCTATTCTCTACAGGGTTGTCCAGGTAAAATGTCATTTGGTGCTCTATCTTGTTGTCTCTTTCTTAAGTTTCTCATCTGAATGGTTATTGTATACGCTTTATAAAATGTTGCAAATTCCATTTCTTTCACCAGAAGTGCCATCTCTTTTAGGCATCTTTCTTCTAAATGCACAAGTTTTATCTACGCTTACTTCTTGTTTTGGAGACGGGAAAAAATTATCATTAATGCCCCCAACCGATTTCTGTCTATATGAATCATAGTTTTGAATGTTTATAAGACAATGTCATGCAGGAGATCATCAAATATCAGGTAGCAAACATGTATCTTTGGCCGAAAACTCTGCGAGTAGAAGTTCTGGATCCGGCAAAGTAAGCTTCAAGACAGCTCATGTTATATTCTATGTTACATTTGCCATTTTTAACTTTCACTCTTTCGGCCCTGACTTGTAAATCCATTTGAACATGCAGAGCTTTTGATCGACCTGTAGGGATTCTCCATGTGAAAGTTATAAGGGCAATGCAGCTAATAAAGAAAGATCTTTTGGGTTCATCAGACCCTTATGTGAAAATAAAGCTAACAGAGAGTAAGCTTCCAGCTAAAAAAACCACCGTGAAGATGAAGAATTTGAACCCAGAATGGAATGAGGAGTTCAATGTAACAGTTAAAGATCCTCAAACCCAGGTCTTAAAACTTCAGGTTATTGACTGGGAGAAAGTAAGTTTTCGTAGTTTTTTACTGATCCCAAGTGTCCTGTTTTTTTCATCAGTCGTTCCCTTAAATATTAGTTCTGTTTCTCAGCTTGGGAAGCATGACAAAATGGGTATGAATGAGGTTCCATTGCAAGATCTAGCCCCGGACGAACCAAAAGTTATGACCCTTGAACTCCTTAAAAATAAGGGCGCAGAAGAGTCTGCAAAGGACAAGTCCCGCGGACAGCTTGTGGTGGAACTAACGTATAAACCCTTCAAAGAAGAAGAAATACAGAAAACTTTCCAGGAGTCGAGAACATTGCAGAGGGCTCCTGATAATACACCTGATGGTGGAGGTATGCTTGTAATCATAGTCCATGAAGCAGAACATATTGAAGGGAAGAGCCACACTAATCCTTATGTGCGTATCTTCTTTAGGGGCGAGAAGAGAAAGACTAAGGCATGCTATTTTGTCTGAATAGCACCAAATCAGTAGAGTACATCGGTTGCTTGTATTTATTAAAAATGACATTGTTTTGTGCAGAAAGTAAAGAAAAACAGAGATCCAAGATGGGAAGAGGAGTTCAAGTTTATGTTAGATGAACCTCCCCATGGTGATAAAATTCATCTTGAAATTTGCAGCAGTTCATCAAGGATGGGCCTGCGGCTCTCAAAGGTACTCTTTCCACCAGTGCATTGCATGTTAATGTTATGTAGCATTATCTGCCATGCTTATTTTAAGTGACGTAGGTTTCCAAGGGACCCGTGTTTGACCCATTTTCCCAAGGGATGCGCCGTGGATGTCTAAAATGTTCGGCTCTATTCTACATGAATAGACAAACATACCTAAATGCATTTATGCATGCATGTGTCTATGTTAACCATATGTGTTTCTAATGGAACAGGAAAGGCTAGGTTTTGTGGATATCAATCTTTCAGACGTTGTTATCAACAAAAGAATCAACGAGAGATACCATCTCATAGACTCCAAAAATGGACGGATTCAGATTGAGCTGCAATGGAGAACTAAAGAGTAATATGCTTCTTTTACCTTAAACATTGTTGATTTGTTAATGAAATGGAACCATTTCTTAATGTTTTTCAGATCGAACAGGCCATTTCTTAATGGATATTTTCGCTTTGACCATGTTCATCTAAATCCAAATATTAATACTAGAGAAGATATTTAAAAATAACATCTATTTGATGTACTGTCAAATATACGTGTATATATCCGACATAAATATATAAGATAATTTTAGTGCTTTTATTCAATGATATCTGTAAAGTCATTTCCATTCCCATATCTAAATATGCAGCAAACGGACAATAACACACCCATTTCCTGGAATTGCTTGGAATTGTTTGTGTTAGTTGCCGATATAATAACTAAATATTTTAATGTGAAGACTGCTGGTCTTGGATCTAAGTTACTAGTTCATGAAGGAAATGATACAATGGAGCAAAATATGAAACAATTATATTAGAAAGAAATCAGCAAAGTCAAGACACACCAAAAAAGAAAAGAAAAGAAATCTCTGCTGTTTTTATATAACAAGGGAGCTTCATGTTTCCTCATCCCATCTGTTCTTGGGAATCTCTCCGGAGTCGGTGATTATGACTTTCTTTCTAGGTTTCCCGCTGTAAGTCCCGGCTCCCCCTTCGATCATAAACACAATGTCCATGCCCTGAATAACCTTACCAAAAACAACATGCTCCCCATCCAACCTGAAAAAAAATCAAACCACAATTAGAAATTAGCCAACAAGTTATTTTCTAAAGACAAATGAGATGTTCTATCTCCCCTTACTACTGGGATAAACAAGAACACTGTTTCTAATCTTTCATGATCGACACATTTCCATTAGTATATTAATAGGAAGCTTTGTTTGATGATTATAACTTTATAAGTCTCCACATTAGAATTCCACACACAAATTTATAGTTTTTGGGTCATAAAGCTTACCAACTGGCTTTGACAGTGGTGATAAAAAACTGAGAGCCATTAGAATCAGGTCCTGTATTGGCCATGGAAACTACACCTGCAAAAAATATCAAGAGAGAAATGACTGAATATTTGAAGATAAATTTACCATTAAACGGAAAATCAAGACAATGTTAAAGCTTTTAAGTTCAGAAAGCATTTGCTTCCATAAAATTCTGTCTAAACAAGATAAGCAGTTAACTAATAGCTTCTGCGTTTAGACCAATAAGCACTTTTGAAATGTTTTTTTCAAAAAATAAACTATCTTGTTTGGGAAAGTTTTTGCTGCCCAAAAGTGCTTTTGGCTTTCCAAAAGCATTCCCAAACGGACACACCTGCATGAATTCTTTATCTTAAAGTTCTCGTCACGAAAGGTGCCACCATATATAGATTCACTTCCCCTTCCATCACCATAAATTATATCACCGCCTTGAACCACGAATCCAGATATTATGCGATGGAAGGGTGTTCCCTTGTAACGAAGTGCTTTCCCATTAGCACCTTTGCCTTTCTCCCCTGCAGTTCCGAAGGAAGAATTTAAGCATATTTACCATGTAAAATTGAAACTGTGGACTATAAATACTCTGAACTGTTTTTTTTTTATTCGTACATAACTAACATAAAAAGACAAAAGTACCTGTACACAAAGCCCTGAAATTTTCTGCACACAGAAAACAATAGCAATATTAAGCAACATGTACAAGTTACAGTACATCTAAAAAATGGAAACAATTGGAAAAGAAAATTAATACACCCGATTAGCTGAAAGCTAAGCTTACCACACACAACAATGACAACAAATGACAAGGCTGAGAGTAGCTTGTACTCAACAAATATGCCAATGCTTTCAAGGAATTAAGTTTTTTTGCAACTAAAACTACTGGTCAGAAGATTGAAGCATACCAACAGTTTTGGGTACAACTTCACCATACAATCCGATAACAATTCTACCTGTAAAACACATATTATAGCAATGTAAGCTGGAAAAGGGACAAGTAAGATTTCTTCTCATCACCTTTTCAAGTAGGAAAGTTAAGGCATTGTACCTACACGCTGGCCATCAATATCGACATCCAAGTATACTCTGTGGGTGATTTCATGCTCCTCTTCTACAATATTCTCTTCTTCCTAATCAAGAATTCAGTGCAAATCAGTTAATACAAACTATTTTTGAGTTAAACTATCGCGATTGGAAGAATGAAGCAATATTAAATAAACATACAAAAGAAATTGCAGACTCAAGCTGATCTCAACAAAACACAATCAGAAAAGCAACAAAATCCTTTCACTTGCAAAATTCAAACTCAGAAACAAGGAAATGCTCAGATTGTAAAAGCATATTTTCCAAATCTTGGAAACAAGAAAATGCTCAGATTTTAACAGTATACTACAAAAGAAATGAACTTTAAACTAGGCGTATGTTACTCCGACTTGGTCACTTCGATGTTAGTGTCAGATATAGAAAAAACAAGTCTGTTCTACCGTATTAAACGCAAGAATCAAAACGAAACCAAGCCAACCAAATTCATGAAAGCTAAATGGAAACCCAAACCTGTTCTAGCGTACTAAACGCAAGAAATAAACAATATAATCCGAATTCAGATCCAAAGGCTACATATATTCACATATCCTAGAGATAGGTATTTAGAAATGAATAAAAAAGAGTTAAAAACGCACCCGCTTAGCTCCAGAGAAAGCGAAAATGAGTAGAATCGATAGCGCAATCAAGAGAAGAAGGAACCGAGGCTGTAACAAAATCGAGATCTCCCGACGCATCTTTTCTCGAAAGTTGATTTCTTTTATCCCCCTAATTGTTAACAATAAATCTTCATGTGATTTTCCATGAGAATTACATAGGACAGATAGAGATCTTGTATTTCTTCTCCAACACTATCACTGACAGATTCAGTCACCAACGAAGACTGAATGAGTTTGGGCGTCGAGTTTTATCTTTTCTTAATTAAAGCTTTTAAGCGGCTTAGTTCATATAACCAAACATTATATCTGAGTAATAATTCCTGGAAGTTATATTATTTAATTTATGATTGAAAATATAATATTATCAAATTATTTTATACTGTATTAATATGAAAGTTTATAAAAAAATTAATTAGATTTTATATAAATTTTATATTTAATATATTATTAATGTAATTAATATTATACAATATTAAAAAATATTGTATATATTATTAATATATATCTTTAACTTATGTCTGATAATATTAAGTTTATATAAAAATAAATTATAAAATAATAATAGAGGTGAATAAATTGTTACAAGAGAATTAAATAAACATATATATAACAAGAAATTTATTATTTACAATATTACATTAACTCCATCAAATAATATTATAATAAAAAGAACTAAAATATTTTTTCTCCAAAATCTTACATTTTGAGAATAATACAAAAGCAAACAAGATAATATTACCTAAAATCTTACATTACCATATCACAAACACAGGCCTCAAGCCCTTCGGTTATGATAAGAATTACGGGCCTTCTTTCAAAAATTAATTAATTTAATTGAATCTTTATGAATTATTAGGCCTTCAATTAAATGAAAAGCTTGTATTTTTTAGAGAAAAAAAATATTTCAACACAAAAATGTTGAAAAAAGAAACATAAGAGGGATTAGATTTTAGATGCATGCATTATTGATGGCAGAAAGGGTTTTGTTGAGTAGGAAAGGGCTCACTTTCGTCATCTTAATTCAAACTCCTCGTGACTTTGCACATCAAACAAAGGTTACTGGTGTGATGAATGCTAGATGTATATATATATATATTTATATATATATATATATAGATATATATAATTTGATGAAGGTGAATGGAAGTTACAAAATTGAAACTATAAAATGTTTCACAGAGATGAATTTTAATGGTATCCTCTTGAACCTCTGGATTGATAGAGTTCCAATCTACTCTTTGCTTCTGGTAATAAACCTTCAATGTCGGGATTTCCAGCTAAATGAGCTTGCTTTAATGCCCATTCTAGCACTATTAGCACTTCCTCTTGAGCAAGCACTTCACTGTCGGGAATATTGTACGCAATGTAACACAGAAGAGTCAATGATGGAAACTGCACCATCTGTTCCCCAAAGTAAACCAGTTGGATCAAATGCTTCACCCCGCCCGCCTCCACTATGGCTTTCGAGTGGTTAACATGGAGGTAGTTTTGCGGTGACGCAAACTTGTTAAGTGCAAACACGCCTTCCATCGAAACTTCAGCTTCCATTTCGTCCAATAGTTTCACCAACGGCCCGATGACCCTCGTTTCGGATGCTCGGAATGTCCTCGCCAAGTTCCCTATTGATTTTATGCACGGAATGAGGAGGTCCGAGTCCCCCTTATCGATGACTTTGAGTAATTGGTCGAGAACTGCTTTGGCTGCAGGGGCAGTAGGTTTGAAAGAAGAGCGTCTCAAGTCAGGATTTTGCTCGGCCACGGCCGTGATCTCCATTAATGCAAGGGAAGAGTAGTACCGAATGTCGTCGGTGCTCTTCTCTAACAAAATAGCAAAGCATAATAGAGCTCTGGATTCAGTTACGCTACGACAAATGCTGAGGTTTCCCTTGCAAAGCTGCCACAGAGCCCTTGCTGCCATTGCTTTCATTTGTGCTTTAGTGCCAGGGTCTTCGAATTCCCTTCCCTTAATGCTAGTTCCAGATATGGGGACATGGTGATGCGACCTGGCACCAGCAATTTGGTGGTGGGCGCCTTTGGGATGGTTAGCTTGTTTGTTGGGTAGCGGTGGTGTTGCTGAGCTTCCAACATTCTTGCCTTTGGTAGCCATAGTGTTGGTAACCACATTTTGCATTTGGCTAGGCGCTGCTGCTTGTTTCCCCATCGATTGATCTATATGACTCTGGCCTTCAGGGTCCTTTTTCTGGGGATCTTCCGGACTTTTACTAGCCAAAACAACCGAATGAATCGATGACGCTTGCTTGGTCACGATACTATACTTACTATGTTCCTCGACGGTCTCGAAGGCAAGATGGCTGACTAGAAACCGGATTATATTGTTTTGTGAAAAGTGGTCTTGGCATTTGGGGTGATGTGCAGCCAATTCGGAAACAGCCCAAGCCACCACAGTTTGAACTTTCATTCGACCTTCTTTGAGGATTTTCGCAAACACTGCACAAACACCAGCATTGACAATCTGTTCGACACTTTCAGCGTCACGTCCGAGCAACCCAATTGCCCTTGCCGCATTCTCCTGACCCTCGGGGTTCCCTTCCTTTGCCAATTTCAACAATGGAGGGACTCCTCCTTCCTCGATGATCAGCTTACCGTACCGATCATTGTCCCGAGCCAAAGACACTAATGAAGCAGAAGCATCGCACCGCTCTTCTATCGTACCTGTGTAAAGAATAGCGATTTGTTCCCATATAAGACATAATATAGGTTCATTCGCCGCAATGGGAGGAAGACCCAGATATTCATCATCTTTATTGTCTCCCGACACAGCCAAAAGCCACGAAACATCTCCTATAGAATTCTCGAGTTGCATCGACAGTTTCCTAAAGGCTGCTGCAGGAATAATGGTGAAAAGTCGCCCCAAGAGACCAGTTCTACCACACTTGAGAACGAGCGTTAGGGCCTTGTCAAGGACTTGTTCGGTGTCATCCACGATTCTCCGTGTCGGGCGTTCGTAAACTTCATTGCTAGCTCGGGCAACTTGACGGAGGAGGCCGGCTAGCTTGTCGGTCTTGGCTTTAATCTCTTGGCATTCTTGTTTAAAAGATTGTGCTTCATCCGCAGCCTTTGTCACCATATCCGCCACCTGTATCGGCCTTGCCAACAGTTGTTTCACAATGCCCGCCATGATGCAAGCGGACCCGGAAACAATGGCAAAATCCAATTACGACAACGATCCTTTTCAAGACAAAAAAAAATTATTCTAAACTGTCTGGTTTGAACGACAAGATAGCGCAATATTGTTTGAATGTATTGAGAAATTTATGTTAATACTTCCATTTTGGCACTGAGAAAATGAAAAAGGAAAAAAAAATGTAAAACCAGAGTTAAAGAAATGAAAGGAGTTTTCGTAAAGGAGGCATCATTGAATGCACGGTTTCCTCCGGAGAGGCGTGGCCAGGGAGGATGTGGTGGCGCCGCCAGTGAATGCAAAGAAGAAGATAGCTATAGATTTGTAATGGTCAGACGAGGTTTTCTCCATGTTTGATGTCCAAAAATAAGAGCCACCGCTCTTCTTGCGTTATATATAAGAATTGGATTGTTTTATCCATAAGTTTATTTTTATAAAATTATACTACTATCAATATGAAATCCCTTTAAATAAAAAAACGTTCGACTTTTACGCTTAATTCTCACGTTTTTTATAAATCAATTGGATTTAAATCGAAACCCAAATACAAACATCGCCCATTATTGTGAATGTTCAAATTAGCCATCATCGGATAAGGTTTAAGCACTTTGCTTTGAGATCCAATGAACCATGTGGCTCAAATCAAGCACGTTAACTCATCCTCTTCACTGTCACATGCATATATAAGTCTATGTTGCTTAGATTGGAACTTTTAATATTTTTTCATATCTTTTACTTTTTATTTACGAAATAACACTTAATTTCTATCAAATAAATGTACTAAAATTATAATCTTAATACACAAAATTTTATATAAACTAGTAGATTAATCACAATGATGATTTTTTTTAAAGATTACTAAATAACATAAATTAACCACAAAATAATAAAAATAGGATTATATAAAGATTGCTTAAAAAATTTAATCAAAAAACTCGAAAAATAGAATATATGAACAAATAACTTGAAAGATAAGCATGAGTGAGTGATTATGAATACTTGTCAATATAAAAAAAATCAACTTCAAAATTCAAATCAAGGGTGAATCAACAAATCAATTTAAAAGATGATATTAAATTTAATTATGAAAATATACTATAATAGCAAATTTATAATTTTATAAAAAAAATAATTATTAAAGAACTTAAACACAAATATAAAAAGAGAAAAGGTTAAAGAGTAGAAAAGAGAATAACATAGAAGACGAAAAAATTATAATAAAATATATGTAAGGGGGCATTTGGTTCAGGTCATTCCTCGTTTGGTTGGCAAACATTTCCAACATCAGTAATAAGTTATTCCCAACAATGGTATTTTGGGGTATATTACCGAGAATGTGATTACTCCCCTTCCCTTAGGTATTGTTACATTTCCAGCGTTTTGGACTAAAATACCCTTAAATATTTTTTCAAAAATATCATTCTTCTGTTGTTGAATAAAAAAAACTATGAATGTTAAATTATAAATTTATCCTTAAACTATTTTAGATTTACAAAAAAATCCATAATTAGAATTTTATATGAAATTCAGGGGTTAAAATAAAATTTTAGCCTTTCATTAAACCTATTTATCTTTTCAATTTTGTAAACTATATATATATATATATATATATATTATGAATTTAAATTTTTTAAAGAAAATATATAAATTAAGTATAGTAAAATTATAGTAGAATTCAACTTGTTAAAAAGACAAATATATAATAAGGAAAATTTGATAAAATATACATTCTAATAATATTTTATTCTTTAACCAAACATTGTAATCTTATATTTCTGCTAAACGAACCAAACACAACAATGCAACATTGTAACACCCCAACCCGTATCCGACCCGGATCCGAGTCCGAAGTGTCACATTGACTTTTCAAAAACCTTTACTTGTATAAAATAGTGAGTAATTTAAAATTTATTATTACATATAACTTATTCAAAACCTTTATCGAACTATTCAGAGCTTATACAATATATTATCTTGAATACATGCCAACTAGAAATTTATGTATTAAAATACATATTATTCACCTTTCTTCTGATCTGGCCTTTGGTAAGAAGAAATGACATGTCTTGCTCCACATTGCTCTTTACTCTTCTCACTTTGGTAACCTACGTGTGAAACAATCACACGCTAAGTCGATGACTTAGTGAGGCAATAAACATAAAATATAAACTATAGCTTGTAATCATGTATGAACCATTACTACTATCACTCATACCCTTATTCATGTAACAAATCCCTGTAACGCATATGCAATATATATCATTACATATAAAAACATATACACACATATATTCCTCACTCATCATTTCTATCATTAGCCTTATTTCACTATCCATATTACTATTTATATGTGTTGATCATATCCTCTTGAACTTAACCTTATTAACCAACATATGCTTCATGTAACCAAACAATACACATATCATCATATGACTCGTGCAATATACATATCAACATATATCACAAAAGCATATTTTTCACATGTAATATATTTATTGTTATATCTTTGTCTAGCCCATGTACATTTCTGAGAACTATAGATATGTGAGTTTATAGAGGTTGTGCACTAATGCTGTCACCGAAGTGCCGCGTAGAAATGCACCGAAGTGCCATATAAGGTTGTCCCTAAGGACCACATATCATTCCTTAAGAATCATATACATATGCCAAGGATCAAGTATGTGTCTCAAAAGACCTCACACATGTTCCGAAGAATATATATATGTCCCGAAGGACCGCGTAGACCCTCGACTCTTGGCATGCCAACTATACCTCTAGCTCTCATGACACATAACATGGGCATTAATCTTTATGTTATCACACATTCACATATACACATAGTCTTTTTATTACATTTTTATAAGATCACACGTAGTCAAGTAGTTCATTTCCATATAAATCACACATACACATAGATCACTTGCACGTAGAACATCTTTATATAATCATATGATTCAATTTACTTATCACATATACTTTTTCTTTCATATATCTCATGGCATATATCACATGGATCTTTATTTCATTCTCATATGATCACATAATCATGTAGTTCCCTTCTCCTATCACTTTGCATGGTTTTACATAAACATATATCATACCTTATTCATATATATATATATATATATATATATATATATATCTGCAAATACATGTAAGCCCATATTTTCTTAACTTATAACTTACGTTACATATGCATGTAATCTTATGACTTATTGTTAAATAACTCAAATAACATTGTATTATTACATACTTTGTTCCATAGCCATATATTTACATACCTTATACTTACCTAGTTTACTCTATTTCACACATAGTCACATAATCACGTAATTTACTTACACATAGATCATTTTCATACCTAAATCATATAACACCCAATTCTTCCTCATAAAGTTATATTTTATATTCATATTATATTATATTATCCTATAAGTAAATACTTATCTTATGGTTTGGTATAATCATTTATACTCAATTCCCTTCACTAATATATTATTCTCATATTACTCTATAGTCTAATCTTATTTAACTCATCACCTTTCTCATGTAGTCATATAAATCTATTATATTGATTATTATAATTGATCACGTATACTATTAACATGTATGGTCACCTATCATATAAACTATTTCACATTCCCATGCAATCATATAGACCATTCATATTAATTCCTATACTTATCACAATACATGTATTCACACAATCATTTAACACATATTGTAATATATATCACATATACCCAAATCAAACATATGCTTATGATCATAAATTAATGCATTCTAATATAGGAAATAGACTTGTCGCAAGTCTTATTTCCATTAAACATCATAAACTAACTTGTATGCACTCACCTGAGCCTCACTAAGTTCTAATCCACTTTTATGTTTTCATCTCTTTCGATTGAATCTTGACTTGATAATCGTTCCGGGACTTGTTCGTGCTCGATATCTATATGATCATACATTGATACATATCAGTATCCAATTGATATACTCCAATCTATCATTTCGTAGACCAAAAGAAAGGTATAATTCTATTTCCCTTTAAGTGCATCGATGCATAAATTACATTCGATGTTTCCATTTTTTAAGGGTGCATCGATGCACTTCCTGTGCATCGATACACACTGAACAATTTCTAGAAATTTACCCTTGATGCATCGGTGCACCTTGAATGTGCATCGATGCACATAGCCCAGAAATCCAATTTATGCCCGAAAATCCCCTCTTTTCAACTTAATTACTTCATATATCATTCCATTTCGTATTCTTAACTTACTTACTCCTATTCAAACTCATTTATCTCGTCTTGAACCTTAATATCCTCTCCTCTTTATTAACTTCAAGAATTATACCAGATTTCCAGCATGTTTCAAAACTCATTTTATCACTTCATATCTCTTAATTTAACCCTTGACAAATCAAATTTATCTTCCAATTTGAGTAATGAACTCTATTTTAAGATTTCACCCAAGAACCCCAAATCTTTAATCCCTCCTAACTCCATCATACTTTGATTTTAAGATAACTTAAGCTTTCTTTAAGCTTAGTTATCATCTAATAATCAAAACCTAACCTTAAAATCAACAATTAATCCATAAACAAAGAAACTTACCTTTGAGCTTGGAGATACGGGAGAAGGAAGAAGAAGAAAGAAAACTCTGGATAATTCTCCTTTTCCACGTGGTTCCTTATCTTATAAAAGAAATATAAAAATCTTACTAGTCAATTGACCATTTTACCCTTTAATTCATTCCATAATTACTAAATAACCTTCATCATATTTCTAATAAATCATTAAACTATTCAATTATCCTACTTTAATCACCAATTTCTAAAACTTTACAATTTGGTCACTAACCCGGTATTGAGGATGTTACAAATCTCCTCTCCTTTAAAGAAAATTCGTCCTCGAATTTTCACTGAACGAATCAATAAGAACACATATTCTATTGTTCTCATATTATCTCCTTTCTTAATCTTTTCTTCCTTTA